CAAGAATATTGTACTGAGGTCTAGGCTCTGGAGCAGGCGCTGTGCGAGTTAATGGAAGTAATGAAGCTTTCGTGTGAAATGATGCGGTGTCACAACTCATTTGCATCCCACTTAAAGTGTAATTAAGTTTCCCTGACAGCGTGGCTTATGTCTGGGAGAACAGACCTGGATGCTAGATTAATCCAGAGGCCCTTAGTTAATAACGTTCAGCAAAGAAAACTTGATACACTTTCATTTAAAGTTCCCAAATTCCTGCTACGGAAGTGTGTGACAAGCAGCCTACAGAGAACCTTAGGAAACTGGTGGCCACCGTCCAATCGCTAAGATATCTGAAAATTTAGCTTTGATGAATCAGGACGTAAGAAAGTGCTATTTTCTCTCCAGCCAAGAAAATGGATGATCTGCGGGGGGAATGGGGGGGGGGGCTGGTTTCACATTTAAATTTTTTCTGTACCATCTTTCTAAATTATAGCATGCTTTCACATTTAAATTTGAATTGTTGGCAATTTTAAAATTTATAACCTAGCTAACTTTCCATAGTAAGTGCTCAGAAGTTGTGTAATTCATGTTTTATCCATTCTTTCAGGACTTATGTACTTCATATACGTTTTTACCTGCAGTTGAAATATCAATAAATTTTCATGTGCTCCTCTTATCATTGTTTATTTGTTCTGCTAAGAGTATTTACTTTTTGCTATTTAAAAAGGTCTCCAATATCCTTAGCCAGTGGGGAAATACAAATTAACAGTACTTTAAGATTTCCTTCATTTAGTCAAGATGGCTAGCATCTAGAAAACACGGGCTAGAAAATGCTGGGAGGGTGTGGAGGAAGAAGAACCTTTATGCACTGCAGGAGGTGGAGTGGGAGGGGGGAGTATGACCTGGTGCAGCCACCATGCAAGTCATACGCAGATTTCTCAGAAACCTCATGGCACAGCTACACTGCTTTTGGGAGTTACTTGCACAGCCACGATTACTAGAGCTAGCTGTTCTACGCACAGTAGCTTGGAAAAGGAACCAGCCCAGATGTTCATCCATAGACAAGTGCAAGAAGATATGTACAAAACAAGCAAAAAAAAAAAAAGAAGATATGTACATAGACAAAATTTTTATTCAGCCATAAAGGAAAATGAAATAATGGCACGGGCAGGGAAAAGGGTAAAACTCGAGTTTTGTTAGAAAAAAGTAAACCAGGCTCAGAACAAGAAAGATTGCTTGTTTCTTCTCATATGCAGATCCTAGATTTTAATTTTTATATATGTGTACTTGTATGTATGAGGACTTACAAACCATAAAACCTACATAGACCCAGGAGAGAGTAAAAAGATACCTCCGCGGGAGGAAAAGAGTGTGAGCAAGAGAAAGAGACAGTAAAAGTTGGTCAGAGAGGGGGGAAAGTCATGTGATGTGAAAGGAAGGGGATCTATTGGAAGAAGACCTTGGAAGGGAGGCAAATAGGGAAGAAAAGGGGCAGGACCAACAAATATGTATGAAAATTCTGTAATGAAACCCACACGCTAACTTTTACAAAGTTTAGTTTTTATTTATTTATTTGGTTGGTTGGTTCTGGTTTTTCAAGACAGGGTTCCTTTGTAGCATTGGCGCCTGTCTTGGAACTAGCTCTTGTAGACCAGGCTGGTCTCAAACTCACAGATGTCAGCCTTCCTCTGCCTCAGTAGTGCTGGGATTAAAGGCATGCACCATCACTGCCCGCTAAATTTAAAATTTTTAAATGACCAAAATTATTTACTTTTTACAGTCCACAAACTAACTGTGGTGCTATCAAAGCAAGTTTTAACTAAAGAAATACTCAATTTGTAAACGATATAAACTATTTTCACCACAATAGAGAAGAGGGAGTGAGGTTCTGGTATTCGGGCAAATCCTCCTCCGGCAGGACACAGGAAGTTCGGCGCCACAGTGGTGCACGGCTATGCATTCCTTATACTGCTCTCTCAGCACAGCCCAAGGTGAGAAGAAACCCCCGGTAAACTGACCGCCTCCAAAGGGACCCCAGTGGCCCAGCGTTTAAGATGGTTCCTCAGAGGGCTCAAAGTTTGCCGGTGTGGAACAAAGAAGAGAGCCTTCAGAAAACAAGCCTGAACCTTACGAATGCCTAACACAGTTAGGCTTAATAGATTGACCTTCGACTCTTAAACCAAAATTGTTCAACATATTTCCAGTTCAGCTAACATTTATTCCAACAGATGAGCTACGTACAGTAGCTGCCAAGAAAGTCGTCTCATTTGGAAATTAGATAATATTCTGGCGTGTAGCACCGACGAGAACTGTGATGTTCAACTCCATGTGTTTGCATAGCCCCGCGACATCACCTAAGGCAAAATTTACACAGGCTCTTCTTTCTAGACGAGGTCTCAGCCTGTGCAAGAGATCCCTGGGGTTTTATGCTCCGTTCTAGTTTTCTAAAGGACTGTTTCTGATATGGAAAACTTGCTAAGAAGGCATGCTAATGGGGAAACGGGCACCTTAGCAAGCATTTTCTCTGCTCAAAGAACCGTAATGTACTAAAACACCGAGAAAGGTATATTCGATGAGTGACTGGTTGTACTGCCTTGTGTCTTAATTACAGAGGTAGCAGACAAGCCTTTTTCTTTAGCCATCCAATTGGGGCCAAAATGCAGTGAGAAAGGGCATTCTATTCTGCCAGCCTTTGTTCCTCAGCTGAAGCCCAAGTTCTCAGAAGAGAAGGATCTTGGAGCTGTGATCTGACCGCTTCAGTGATCTCCCATATCCGCCACTTTGGAGCAAAGGGCTTAAGCTACTCAAGGTGACGGCTTGCAGCCACACTGAGAATAAAATTCAATGTAAAGTGTTCAGTACACACTGTGTCTCTATGTCTTCATAAATACAAAAAAATTGGAGAAAATACTTTGTACATATGCTTTAATTTCTTTAAGAATACATATATATGTTGTATAGTTTTAAAGTACAGCACTGTTATATTTCATTAATATGCAATTTTCTTATATAAAGTATATAGGACTCACTACAGCAATCCACTCAATGAGAAACCATTTTTTAACTGCTAATTAATGATTATAATTCCACATATAGAATTTATATGATATCTCATGTGCTTTTAACTCAAAACACACCCAAAATACATATAAGCAGTTCATTGTATTTGCACTTGGTACTGTGTCAAGATGGTCGAAATGGAAGGTGCACCAAGTAATTACCAAACCCTCTTCGGTCCCATTGGTAATTTCCACTTTTGTGAGTTTCACCACAAAACATAATATCAATCCACACCAAATACTATATACCAAGTGTAATAGATTAATAAAAATGCTGCAGGATCCCCCGTGGCGGCAGGCAGCAGAAACACTGCAGGTCCCAAAGTGGTGGCAACAGGACATGTGCTGGCAGGCAGTGAACCCTGAGAGCAGCCGGTCCCAAGCAGGGATGGCTGCAGGTCCTGAGCGGTGGCTGGTCCTGGGCAGGGAGGCCTGCAGTGTCAGGCAAGAGACAGAGACATGGATAGGCACACCATGCCGAGGGAGGTTGGATATTTATTAAGTGAGTTATGGAAGGGAAGGGGGAGTAGGAGAAGAGGAGAGAGAGGGGGGAGGGAGGGAAGAAAGACAGAGGGAAAGGGAAGAGAGAGGCAGAAGGGGGAGGGGGAGAAGTGGGGAGAGGCAGAAGGGGGAGGGGGAGAAGTGGGGAGAGGCAGAAGGGGGAGGGGGAGAAGTGGGGAGAGGCAGAAGCTGCCTCTTCGAGAGGAAGATGGAAAAGAGAGGGAACTCAGGCTAGACGCTGAAGATCAGCCTGCCTCAGCAGACAGGGGAGGGAGTGGGCGTGGCTTGTCTCTTAAAGGGACGGAACAGATCATTACACCAAGTACTTCCATCTGTACTGAACTGGTGAAGCTGCGCTGTCCCTGCTGCTGACACTGCGGGCTGAAGCATCCCCAACACTGTGCATAAGAACAAGCAGTGAGCATGCACCATTGCACTGAGTCCCTAGTGAACACAAATCAGCTGGTGTCTTCACTGACCTCTAAGACAAATCTGTTGAAGACTTACTATGAATAATTCTATTACATCAAAAATCTTTCTTTAAGGAGTTGAATAGAAATTTGGGGTTGTTGTTGTTGTTGTTACAGTTTGTCTGTTTGTCTGCTTTTAGAAAAGCATTTTTAATTTACCTGAGGTATTTCTGAAGTTTCTGTAAGCTGAATTTTCATCACAGCCAAAGAAGTTCATTATTCAAAGAGTAGCTCTTCAATGCTCCCTCTGAAGCATCATCTCTATCATCAGTTGCTTGGATAAAATCACAACAGTTTTCCAACAATCAGCATAAGACCCAAGGTAGGTTTCAAGTGACCATGTTGGGTGACTCACTAGTGTCTGTTAGCTACAACTCCAGGAGATATGGTCCCCTCTTCTGGGCAAAGGGGACAAATGTACTCACATGCACATACCCACAGGCAGACCATACATACATACATACATACATACATACATATATACAAACATAATATAAAAATATACATACATATAAAACTTTTTAATTAGAACAAATCCAGTTTTTTAGAAAAAAATGATTAAATATTAACTAAATTAATAAAACATGCTGAAAAGAAGAACATTTAATTAGAGGAACAGTTTCAAAAGAGCAAAGGCCTTTATGGGTTTTTGTTTGTTTGTTTGTTTGTTTGTTTGTTTTGGACTTTTCGAGACAGGGTTTCTCCATAGCTTTTGGTTCCTGTCCTGGAACTAGCTCTTGTAGACCAGGCTGGCCTCGAACTCACAAAGATCCGCCTACCTCTGCCTCCCGAGTGCTGGGATTAAAGGCGTGCGCCACCACCACCCGGCAAGGCCTTTATGTTTGAGTTTCTATTCTCTGTCACTATACCGTCAGGTACATTGGAAGTACTTAATAAATGCTTGAAAATGAACAAATGAATGAATAACGCATTTCATTAACTTTGTTTCAAAAAATTGATTTTATTGATGAGCACATTTATTTATTTATTAAAGATTTCTGTCTCTTCCCCACCGCCGCCTCCCCTTTCCCTCCCCCTCCCCCAATCAAGTCCCCCTCCCTCGTCAGCCCAAAGAGCAATCAGGGTTCCCTGCCCTGTGGGAAGTCCAAGGACCACCCACCTCCATCCAGGTCTAGTAAGGTGAGCATCCACGAAACCAATAGGTACAGTAGGATCAAAAACCCATTGCCATTGTTCTTGAGGTCTCAGTAGTCCTCATTGTCCGCTATGTTCAGTGAGACCGGATTTAACCCAGGCTTTTTCAGACCCAGGCCAGCTGGCCTTGGTGAGTTCCCGATAGAACATTCCCATTGTCTCAGTGTATGGGTGCACCCCTCGCGGTCCTGAGTTCCTTGCTTGTGGATGAGCACATTTTTTATCTAGCAACATGTGACTTAACAGTAACAATTGCTTGCACATAGCTTTTTCACATGTTGACACTTTGATCCAAGTTTGAATGTTCTACAGATACCACAGTTGGTAACATCAAACCACTTTAAGGCTTCAGAAAATCTCTTCGTTCTGACTCTAGAGTGGACACGGCTGTTAAATTTCACTTTATCGCTGTTACTTCCACCACTGGCCATGGTATTTTTATGTAATTAGCACCACTTCACAATATTCATGGTCCGCAGTTTTCTTTATTTCCACCTTTCACCAAGTAGAAATTCAAATTATAAAAGTTAATAGAGCCATAAAAATATAGTACCAAATTTCTGTTAATGACAGGACGAGTGCCACTGATTTAGGACAGCTGCTCTCTAAGTGGGGTATTCAGTGCCCAATAACTGTTACAGCAAGAGGCCAAGGTAGGTGCCTGTTATTGGCTTGTTGTTGGCGACTCCTGCCCTGTAGGACTCTGATTCCCAGCAGCAGTTTCCCTGAAGACCCAAGTCCGCACAGCTGCTTCTGTATGCAGAGACTGCTGCACCGGTTTCTTCCTGGAATAGATTTCTCACAAACAAGGATAATCCTTTATTTGAGGTTTAGTCACTTGAATTCCTCTCCGTATTCTTCACTGTCAGGCTTTGCCATTTTATTTATTCTTGCTAGAATGCACTTACTATTGTAGTTATGACACTTTTCACTCTAAGCCCCCTTTTTCAAGGCCTTAGAGGAGGAGAAGAAAGGTCTTTAGCTAGAAATTTCTCATCCTTGTTGACAGCTTGGAAATGATTTATTTTAGAGGAGAGCAGAGGTGAGAGGAGTAGAAAGGAAGATCATTTATTCCAGCATTTCTGAGAACTTAGTTATCAGTCAATCGCAGGCTTATTGATAAATGAAATGTGCTGCCTTTCAACTTCCAGTTCTAATTGCAAAAATAAGCGTTAATCTATAGTTAAGAAATACATTAAATGTTTTGAAGTCTTATGGACTAAAAACACTGAAAAATATTCTCGTGGCTAAAATAAATTTAATTTTTTTTCTCCTATATTACCACAGTAAAATTGATTACTATAATACAATGAAAACATGCTTTGATTTAAATGTTTACAAATGCTTAATATTTAAATATAAATGTAATATATAAATATGTACCTAAATACAAATCAATATATATTTACTGTCTGAGAATTTTTTCAGATGTTTTTTAATACTAGTTTCATTCACACTTGTAAGAATTAATTAAAACCTGTCATTCTTCAAGTCCTCTACTTCACCGTCTCCATTTTAATCCATTGCTTTCCAGATCTTTCTCTCCACAAGAGTACCAGCCTAATTCTAGACCCACAACCTGTGAGTCCTCTTAGTGCGTGAGCCACACATCCTGGGGAAGTCAGTTCTCTGTCCCTGCTCTTTCCCCCACCTGCTGCCACCTTCAAACACATGTGCATAGGGTAAGACCTGTGACCACGAACCCTCTTCATCTGCAAACATTCCTTTCCTGCACTAGCTAAGGACATATGGTTTCAGAGTCATCTTTCCTTGGTCCAATTAAACAGCCCACGCACAAGTTTTACCTGACCTTGCTGAGGTTATGCATCTCCTGCACTGGCCATTCTAAGTAAGGCCAGATTATCACATCAGATACAACCAAAGAAAGGAGTTCACATGCCCAGGTTAAATTGCAAAAATAAAAGAAACACGAATGGTCAAAACAGCATGTCACTCATCAAAACAACTAGTCCTATAGAAGTACTCGCTAAAATCCTAGGAAACAGAATTTAAAAAATAATCATAAGTTTTATCCTTAAGGAATTTAAAGAAGACATAAATAAACATTTATTGAACACCAAGAAAATAAAAATAAGCACTTGAGTGATATTCAAGAAAATACAAGTATACAAAATAATGAAAATAATTCAGGATGTGAAAACTGAATTGAAAAGAGATTGGAATGTTAGAGAGTACTCAATCTGAAATAAAGATGGAATTGACAAACCCAACAGCCCAAGTAGAAAACAAAGAGGAATTACAAGTGGAATTACAAGTCTTATAGTGGAATGAGACAAGCAGAAGATAGAATATCAGAATTCAAACATAAAGAAGAGAATCTGGACAAAACAAAAAAAAAGGAAAAGAAAAAGCTTAAAGCACAGGAAAGGAACATACAGGGAATGTAGAACATCACCAAAAGACCAAATGTTTGAATTATGGGCATAAAAGATGTAAAAGAATCTAAGATCAATGGCATAGACCAAATCTTTAGCAAAATCATAGAAGAAAACTTCCCTAAACTAGGGAAGGACATAGCCATACAGATACAAGAAGCACATAAAACCCCAACTAAACAAGACCAAAAGACAAACATCCTATGTGGGTTTTTCATAATCAAAACACTAAATATGAAGAACAAATAAAAATATTGAAAGCTACAAGAGAACAAACACATATAAAGGAAAAGCCATCAGAATAATACCTGATTTCTCAATGGAAACTCTAAAAGAACATGACTCCCAATCTAGATTACTGTACCCAGAAAAATTATCTGCCATAGTTGAAGGAAAAAGATAATTTTCCATGGCCTAAGCTTGTTCTATGGAGCCAGTACTCTTAACACCAAACCAGGTAAATACAAAACAACAAAAATAAACTACAAATTGATATTCCTGATAAACATAAATGCAAAGATCTCCAATAAAATACTAGCAAGCTGAATACAAGAATATATCAAGAAAATCATCCACCATAATCAAATTGGCTTCATCCTGGAAATACAGGATATATACATTAGTATAATAAATCATATAAACTTAAAGACAAAAATCAAATAATCATCTCAATAGATGCAAAAGAAATTTTGACAAAATCCAACATGATTTCAAGATAAAAGTCCTAAAGAGAGTAGTACTGGAGGGAACATATCTCACCATAATAAAGGCTACATAAGACAAACCCACAGCCAACATTATCCTAAATAGAGAAAAACCTAAAGCAATCCCATTAAAATATGAAAAATAACCAAAGAGCTGTCCACCATTGCCATTCCTTTTCAATATTGTATTGGAAACACCAGCCAGAGTAAGAAGGTAAAAGAAGAAATTTAATGGGAGAGAAATTGGAAAAGAAGTCAAATTATTACTATTTGAGGATGTTATAGTTATACATAAGAGACCCTAAAAGTCCCACCAGAAAACTAGAAGCAACCCACAATTTCAGCCAAGTGACAGGATTAAAAATCAACTTTTAAAAATCAGTAGCCTTTTTATATACCAAGCAAAAACACCCTACCAATAATAGACACCCTGAGAAAGAGACATGGGCACACTCCAATTTACAATATCATAAAAGACAAAATATCTTGGAATACACCTAAGGAGATGAAAGACATCTACATTGAAAATTCAGATCTCTGAGAGGAGATTGAGAAAGACAGTAGATCTAAGGAGGACACACGGTTTCCTTGTGATAGGGAAATACAATAGCTTTATGGGTGAACTTGTAGCAAGGGGGAACAGGAACAGGTCTGGCCACCTCTTGTCACCAAACAAAGCTTCTAATACCAGGACTGGGTTACATCCAATCGTATTGTTGGCCAAAAGGGTCCCATGGAAATCGCCAAACAGCCTAGGTAGTTGCCAAGATAAGTTGCTCTCTGCAAATGGACAGCAAGGGTCCACTGCTGAGGACAACACCCACACAACCCATTGAACATAGAGAAAGTTGATGCCTACATAGAAACTATACCCCTATCTTCTAATATTCTGGTGTTTTGGGGACATGAAGGTACTCTGAAAGCTACCGAAAGAGAAATGTGAATTCTAACACAACCACAAAACCTTTCATCTACAATGGTGTCCTGTCTGCAAAATATACTAAGGTAACTGTGGCACAAAGCTTCTGGGAGTAACCAACCAATGTCTGATTTGACTTAAGTCCTACTCCACTAGATGGAACCCATTCCCAATACTGCTAGGGTAACCAAGAGCCAGAGACCAGAGAAACCAAAGACTTAGAGTAAAAACAAATACTGTGGGTCTAAAAAAAGGTAACAATAAATGATTCCTAATGATATTCTGCCATATTCATAGATCAGTGCCTCATTCAGCTATTATCAGAGAAAGCTTCCTCCTGTAGCAGAGGGAGACAAACAAGGAGACACACAAAAAAAGTATTATGCAGAGAGAGACCTTGGAACTCACAATTCTAAATGGCTTGTCTCTATCAAATCCCTCTCCTCAGAGTTCAGGGAACCTTTGGAAGATAATGTAGAAAGAATGTAAGAGCCAGCATGTATAGAGGACACCAGGAGAACAAGGCCCTCTATGAACCAAGCAAGGCTCATATGAACTCACAGAGACTAACACAGCAAGCACAGAGCCTCGCCCTGTATGGATCTGTGCCAGGTCCTCTGCATGTGTATTATAGCTTTCGGTTTAGTGGGTTTTTTTTTTTTTATGGGACTCCTGAACATATGAATGAGTGGATCTCTGTTTATAATACCTTCTCTTCGGTTCTTTTCCTTTTGTTGGTTTTGCTTGTTCAACTTCGATGGGTTGCTTTTTGTTTTATCCTATTATATTTTACTTTGTTTTTTAAATCGAATATTTTCAAAGGTTAATTAGAGGTAAGCTACATATAGGTATATTTTGTCAGGAAATTTCAAAAGGAGTTCAACATACTCAAATTGGCTTAAGCTCTTATGTAAAGATGGTCCTGGGCCAGCCTCTCATCAGCTGGAATTGGAACTTTCTTCATTATTGTTCCAGGAAGCATAGGAAAGTGCAAAAGAAGAAACTATATCATCATCACAGCAACACCACTTATCTCAGAGCAGCAAGATGGCGCAGTAAGCAAGCTGCCTGCCACCAATCCTGAGTGTGATCCCCATTAATCACACTATGGACGGAGAGTTGTCCTCTGCCTTTCATACACCCACCATGGCACACATGTGCACACACACAAATACATAGAAACTGTAAATATTAAGAACAAAATCACATTACTGGATATAAGAGGAAAATGTCAGTACAGCCTGACTCACAACATTGAAATCTACTATACTCAACTGAAAAAAACAACTGAGAACATAAAATTATTGCTTGCCACGGTTGTAAAATATATATAGTGTTATGCTTAGTCAAAATTTATGCTTACTGTATGTGGAACACAGTAGGACCATCAGACAAGTATATTATTTGAAACCCAAGTCTCAGTCGTATTTTAAGAAATAACTACTATGTAGAACATGCAGTTGGCTGCTCCCAGGTCCTAAGTGAAAACACACGCATGAGCTATTCAGAATCTACAAATAAATAAAGATGAAAAGGTCAACATTGGCCTTTCCCCCGCGCTGTTACTAAGTCTTTGAAATAAGCTCAGGAAATATATGCAGGTGGCTTTTTGATTAATTTGATGGGGGTGCATCTATGGAACCAATTTACAAGTGATTTTCAGGCAACCTGGCATTACTGAAATAAACGGTGCTATTACTATGATTTATGCTAGTATTCCAAACACAAATGATAAAGTGAAATTTACAGTCCTTAATTACCACCGTGAAGTATTGGGAGGGAGAGAAAGGAGCAAAGATTGGCAATTTGCAAACTTGTCAGTGAGGCAAGATGCAAAAATCTATTCTTTCTTTTTTTAAAAAAAAAAAAGGTATTGTGTTAATTGCCCTGACTATATTGTTATCAATTCATTGAAGGGCAAAAGGGAGTACAAAACCTGAAACAAATGATCGTAACTTCACCTTGAAGTGGAGCTTAAGGAAACACCTAAAAAAAAATGTAGCCTGCATTTACCAAAAAGCAAGGAGGTAACAAATACAACACTGCTCATTATTTTGTGCCACAAACGAGACTGAGTTTGCTCTTCCAACCCTTCCTTTCTAGGCCATTTCCTAAATGCATTACAACAGAGTGTGGGAAAGCAAATTGGTTTTCTCTTGTCCCGTTCGTATGTGATTAGCGCCTACAGTCTGTTGAGCTCTTCATTGACATTTACAGAGATACTGTTAGCCTTGTGATGCTAACAGAGCTGTACAGTAGATAACTCACCCTGAGAACAGAATCTCAAATGCTGTTGTTTTCAAAAGGCTGAGGATAATGTGAATGCTTCTGCTGCCTGGGTCCATGAACCCTTCCTTTCTCCATCTTCCCACAATCCCTGCTTGTGTGGTCCACTTTCCATCACTCCACTGAAATACCTAAGATAACCAAGGAGCCGAGAAGAGAAGCTTATTTTGATTCATTGTTTCAGGTGTTTCAGTCTTTGGACAGCTGTCTAGTGTTCTGTGTCTTGTCCAACAGCAAGGGAGAACACCACAGCAGAGAGTGAGCTGGAGAACGAAACTGCCTGGTTGCAGGCAGACACAGAGTAGGAGCTAAGATTCTAAAATTGAAAATCATACTCCACAAATGTTAAGCTTCCTTCCTGTAGGGCAGTATTTCTCAACCTGCGGGTTGAGACCCCTTTGGGAGTCAAGCAACCCTTTCAAAGGGATTGTATATCCTGCCTATCATATACAGTTATGAAGCAGCAATGAAAATAATTTTATGGTTGGGGATTACTACCACAAGAGGAACTGTATTAAAGGGTCATAGCATCAGGAAGTTGAGAACCACTGCTCCGGGGGCCTCATCTGAAAGGTCCACACTATCCTGATAGTTTGGCAAAGAGGGAATCAGTCATTAGGACATGGCATTTTAGGTCTATCCAAACTACTGCTTCATAGTAGAACTCCAAAAAGTGGTGTAGCTTGGCAATTGATTGGATACAACAGACAAGAGAGATGGAAGACTCAAAGACGACAGAAGTTTCTTGTTTGTCTGATTTAGAAAATAACACTGTAGTTTTAGGAAGTTAACACCAAGCTTTCAAGCAACTTTCAAGAAGTTACCACCAAAATCTGAAAATTGATTCACTTCTGAAAATTAAATTTTAATGGCTGATAGGAGACCCAGACAACCGCATCTAGTACATATCACTAACTATGTGAAAGTTGAATTTCTAGATAGCTTGGGTCCAGAGAGGTAGATTTGGGGAAACTATGAATAGAAATAAAGGTTAAAGACGTGGGTTAGAATAAAACAGGCATAGTTAAGGTGAAAAGAACAATGTTCAAAGCACAAAATCCTTTTTAATGTTATGTTTAATTTACCAAAAGAAATGAATGGAATCAAGTACCAAATTAAATCCTTTAAAATGTTGAGAAAGAAATTGCCATCACATATGTGTATAATCTATCTTAGTAATCTATGATTTTCCACTTAGAATTGTTTCTCTCATAACTGGGTGTGGGGAGCCAGCTTGATTTGAGCACAGTCATCGGGAGCTAATGTGGAGCTTTATGAATGGATGCTGGTGCCATCAGCATCAGAGATGTGTCTGGTATCTTTGGTATTATTACAGATAGAGAGTAAGCAGAAACGTCCCCGCTAGGATCCAGTCCCACCCAGCAGCCTTCTGACCCGGCTCATGGGGATGCCCTAGCTTTGCCGTCACCCATGACCATGACCATACCTCTCCCAGTGCAATAGTAGATCTGTCTGGCTTCATTTGTCTTGCAGAATCTTGTGACGAGTTCTCATACACACTGAAATTGTGTTTTCCACACACTGGGATATAAGGTGAAAAAAATGCAGAGATAAGCCCTTTATGGAGTTTATATCTTTGTATGTAAAACTTCCATAATCCTGATCGATTCTTATTTTAGCTTTACTTTGTACTCAGAAAATCTTAAGAGCATGTGAGCATTCTACAGCCAAGTAGGTTCTTCATGTCTACTTCCCACCAACTCAGGCTTCATTACTACTCCATAAAGCATATTTTGCGTGATTTTTCTCCATTTAAATAATTTCCTTCTAAGATTATCTATGGTGATTTAGTTTCACATCTCTGATGATCTCATTTCTAATTTGGAAGTTTCACCCTTTTCCAACCCTCTGTGTGACCTGTATTGTGACAGTATCCCCTAAATGCTTATGCGTTTTCCTCTGTATATTTTCATTGTCATTCTTAAAACACACCACAGGTATTTGAAATGTTGTTTCTTGTCCCTTATAAGTGTTTTCATCAATATTTAATATTAGCTGCCATTGGAAGGCTTCCTTGATGTATTAAAGATTATACTAAGTGCCTGACATTCGTTGCATCATTTTATCCTCTCTGAAAACCTCTGAATTGAGTAGTTCTGTTTTCCCTAATTCAGTTAAGGACACTGAATATGGGGAGCGTGGGTCTTATTCCAAAACCATACAGAAATTAACCATTAGAGCTTGTAGTTAGTGGTGAGTTCAACGTTCATCATAATTATTGTGGAAAATCTATTATGATTGTTATAGATGTACTTTAAAAGTTTACCTATTGTTAACCAATATATTTCCATTATTTAAACACTATGCAAAACAAATCCTCATTAGTGAGAGCAGGCATCAATTTGTCAATGCCAGTTCTAATTGAAAAAGATAAAATTCAGACTTATTTTTCTCCTTCTTCCATCATCACCTCACACTTTTATCAATCACGATCCCATTTCCCAAAAGACCCAGGCACTGTTTTAATATCTCTCTACCATCCCCTCTGTTGTTTTTCTACCATAATTACTCTAAACTCACCTTTATTGACAGACAATGATAAATGTGCATAAGATCAGCACACTTTGAAAATAATCATTAATTTTCATTATTCACATATTCTGGAGTTGACTTTTGTACATATATTGTTCATCAATTTTAATGTATTTTGACTCCAAAATATTAATATGCAAACACTAGCTACATTAAAGTTAGACTATATCATTATCTTTGTAAGTATATATTAATTTATGCACTGGTTATATTAAAGTCAGCATATGCATATATAAGCATATATACATATAATATCAGAGAACTTAGTGTCAGTTAATATTTCTTCTTATTTTAATATATAAATAGAAATACATACACGCGCATACATTTTAACAATACTAAACAAGCAGTGTATATTATACATTGCTCTCAGGTAATGCAATGCTTATATTCTCTACTACATTCCTTTCATCACTTTTCATAACTGAAACATTGATTTCATTTATATTTTCTCAAACACTATAACAAATGGGCTTGTGATTATGTTTGAAATAAAACTGAAAACATCACCACAGCCTGTATATTGTATCTTCTCTGGAAGTCACTGTCCAATATGTTAGCCACTAGCTTTAGCTGGCTATTTGAAATGAATTAATTAAAATAAGTAAAGTTCAAATTCAGTTTATCAGTTATACTAGTCCCATTTCAACTATCTAAAGTCCATTTATGACTAATGACTAGCATTTTATAGAGAGCACACACAGAACATTTTCCATTGTCATGGAAATTCTACCGGGCAATACTGATTTAGGAATTCAATCTCCTAAAGACAACCCCTAAGTCAATCTTTAGGATTTCCCCTTAAGATTATTTTCTTCTTCTAACCCTTGCTCTTTCATTATGCTCAATATTTAGGTTTTATTAATTTTCTACAGTCTACCGCTTTGCCATAATAGTACTGGGAATACTTTGCGCTACAAGATTGATAATGTCAGTGCTCACAGATTTAAAGTCTGCTGTGAGTTCCCTTAAAGCAATAGATGTTGAGCACCTTCTCTGTCATTCCCTAGCCTCCTAAATATAAAATATATTTTATAAAGTATAAAATATAAAGAAAGGCATTTCTTCAAACTCTCTAGGGGAGAGTGCAACCACTATGAATCACAGTGATAAAAGCCATGTGGTACTTGTTGAGAATTTTGTTTCTAGAGTTGGAAAGGAACTTAGTGGTGTATTACTTTTTAAGAACAAGTTATGATTTTAGCTCAAAAAAATTTGTATTTCTACCACTGTCCACAACTTTATACTCTGAGCTTGTTTCTTTCCTTGAATTTCTTTTTTTTTAATATTCTGAAGCCACTGAGACCCATGTATGAATGGTAAATTAGGGGATTTATAGCCATGGAACATAGATGATAACTGGCCAAGATGAATGAAGGCTCTATATTGTATGAATATTTTCTCCGAACTGAAACATTTTCACCCAGAGGCTCAGCAGGTTCACATATTAGTCATCATCTTACTGAAATCAATGAGACTCAGGAAACTCACAATACCCATGAGTCCTCACCCTCTCCTTACAGTTCTATAGGCATTATGCAGTGCCCTGTGTTGAGGAGACCTTCAGTGGTATAGCTAGCTGCCTTCCAGTTGTGCAGGGAACTCCAGTGATACATCTTTGGTTAGTCATCATTTAGGCTGATGTGGATCTTTAAGTGAGGCAACTGAATGAGTCCCTAATACCCAATACTTCTGAAAGCAATCCAGCTATATGCTAATGCAATCAATGCTAATGAACTCATTGTTTGTTCAACTCTGGTTGCATAAAATTGATTCTTTGATCTGTCTTGCCCTTCCAATTTGAGTTGACTAGAAACTGATTCCCTGGTAAAAGTCATATAATATAACACCGTAATCTGGGCTTTGTAGGCATAGAATCTGGACTGAGATATCTATATACTTAAAGAGACTAAAGCCAAGGTTTAATTAATATACATCTTTTAGAAATTCTATTTATTCTATTGTACTTCACTTTCCTAGTAATTGAAAATGAATACCAATTCACAAATTTCATCCTTCCAGTATGAAAACTAAATTGTCTTCCAGAACAACCTTTCAAAAACAAAGCAAATTTGTCCAGCAACATATATGCAGTGGTTTGTTGTGAGTAGTTAATGTTATGAAACTATTAGGTATTATAGTGATGAAATGCTCATTCTGTCTCTGTGAGAGAAGAAAGCCAAAGGCCTGGCCATCTTTTTATCCACAGAAGCAATACTGGCCCTGCCCGCATTTCCACAGATTCTCCTGTCCATCTCTTTACTGGAAAATGCAGAATGTGGGCAGAAGCTCATCAGGCATCAGAACAATTCATATTCAAGGAATAGATTACTATGAAGTGGGAATATCTAGAATAGGTTATATTTTTTAATTTTTTTATTTAAAATTTTTAAATTTTACATACTAACTTCCATTCGCCCTCCCTCCCCTTCTCCCGCTCTCCCATCTTCCCCCCTCCCACTTCACCCTACCCCTGTGCACTCCTGAGAGGAAGTAAGAGCTCACTTGGGGAGTCAAAAAAGTCTGGTATACCAAGTTGAGGCAGAAAACGCTATAGGTTTTATAAAATAAAAATTTCTCAGATGGCCGCATCCTTTAAAAAAAACTAAAACAAAATGTTTAAGAATTTAGAGATTAAGATTGATATTCAGAATACAAAAATTAAAATTATGTCTCATGACTTCAAGATTAATTTAATTAGAATTGAAAACACTTTTCATTCATCATTTATAACAGCAGTTTTAGACTTCTTGATGGATTCTTGTTGTACTCATGGAGTAATTTTACTATCCTAATTTATAACAGGCTGTCTGTTGGCTTTTGCCAGGCTCATATTTATACCTAGGGTCCTGCCACTTTGCAAGCAAGTTAGTTAATGGCTGTCTCCAGTTTATTAGTAAGCTTAATTAAATCAGATAAAGTAAAGAACTATAGCTCACCCATCTTTGTGGCGTTCTACTACCTAACACAAAGCTATCATTGCAATGTGAATAGAAATCCTTTTATTCAGTAACCATCTATCGAGCTTTTTCTTTTATGTCGTAAAGCTCTGGGCATGGGAAGAACACAGGGCTGTAGTTAAGCATGTGGGCTTCAGCCGGGCGGTAGTGGCGCATGCCTTTAATCCCAGCACTTGGGAGGCAGAGGCAGGCGGATCTTTGTGAGTTCGAGACCAGCCTGGTCTACAAGAGCTAGTTCCAGGACAGGCTCCAAAACCACAGAGAAACCCTGTCTCGAAAAACAAAAAAAAAAAAAAAAAAAAAAAAAAAAAAAAAAAAAAAAAAAAAAAAAAAAAAAAAAAAAAAAAAAAAAAAGAATGTGGGCTTCGCCATGAGAAAGAATCTGATCTGTCTGTAATATACTATGCCCAGTTTCCTCAGCTATAAAATAAGTAGAATAATAGCGTTTCTTCTCAGTTGAAGATGCAGTAAGATAATGCATGCAACTTGCTAAAGATACCTTGCTGCATGAGCAACAGTTATAAGCCAGTTGCACAGAACAGGCTATACATTTTCTAAACTGCATTAGTTAATGACACATTGAGTCTGGGATCCCAGATCCCAGTACTTGGAGGCTGAAAAGTTCAAGACCCTGCTTCAAAAGAGAAAGGAAAAAGATTGTTTACAATACAACCATAACCCCTGCACATTAAATAGAAGCCCAATAAGGAAAGAACTTCTGCCATTTTATTCCATTATTGTATACCTGTGGTCTAAAATAATGCCTGAAGAGGCTCTTAAAATCTTTATGATAATAAAGATTTTAAAGAAATTAATGAATTAGAATGTTTTAAATAAAAACTATTTTCTTTTATTGTTTTAATTTTCACTGCTTGTATCTTCACTATACATAGTACTATATTACATAAGGTCATTTTATGAAAATACATAATTTCCTTGAGTATATTCCTGCATTCCCAAGTCCCCCTGCTTCTCTCCTCTTCCGTTAGTCTCCTTTGTTCCTGTAGGCAGCTTTGTTTCTACTTTTATGAGATACATGCTTATATGGGTTTATGTATCTATATAAAATTAGTAAGACATATGAGAGTAAAACATCTGTCTTTCTGAGCCTGGCTCAATCTGCTTAAGATGGTTACATCCAGTTGCTCTTAGGTGTGTGTGTGTGTGTGTGTGTGTGTGTGTGTGTGTGTGTGTTATTTATTTAATGGAATTGAGTTAGAATCACAAATATGAAAAACTTTGCCTATCACAGCTACCATAACTGACACTTATTTCCCAAGATGAGTCTGAATCAGGAAGTGTGTCACCCTAAAGCATTGTCATCTCAGTCATCTGTATGGTTTCAGAAGTACCTAGAAAGTTAGTTAAAAGCAACCAACAAATTCTGCTGTATGCTGAAAGAAATCTCATAGGCAGAGTTCAACCTCTTGGTATTATTCCATCTTACAATTCAAAAGAAAATGAAAAATTCAACAATTGCACATTAAAAACAAGCATTATATTAAGACATTTAATTCAGAAAAACTAAAGAAAATAAATATTAGTAGAAGGTCACAACCAAAGAAGGGAAGCCTAATACTGAAGTAAGTGATTTTATATACAATATTATTATAAAATGTTTTTAAATACCATGTAATTAAACTAAAACCTTTGTTATTGAAAGGCAAGGCAACTTATTCATTATTGATGAAATAGTCTGTCTCCATTGCTTCACAGTGAGTTTCCAGAAACACTAATGCCACCGAATACCCATAGGTGGTAAGCATTAAATGCAGGTGTCAATTTGGCATAAGATGCAGACAAAGGGCTCTACTTTCAGAGAAGTTGAATTGAGTGCTGTCTATAGTCCTTACTATCATCTTTGCAGATAATATTTAAAAGTGTGTCTGGAGCTCTGGGGGGAGCTGGGGAATTCATCCATTAGTAAACCTTAAGTCCCAGCCACCAGCCTTCTCTGTGTGTTATATGTGTGTATGCTATGCGTATGTTTCTATGTGTGTATTGCATCATGTGTACCATTTGTGCTGGTTCTCACCTTCAACCTTGCTTGAGTCGAAGATTGTTGGTGTTCACCTCTTCACATACGCCAGTCTACTTGTCCCCTGAGTTTCCAGTCATCCCCTAGCTCCACCTCCTATCTTACCATAGGAGTACAGGGATTACAGACCCACACGACAGCTTTACCTTGGTTCGAAAGATGCAAACATATGCCTTCACACTTACTTGGCAAGTGTTTTACTAAAGTGGCATCTCTTTGGTTCCTTTTATTTTTTATGAATGTAGCATACAGGTGTGCATGTGTGCAGCTGGACGTGTGGGCACATGTATGGTCATGCACATGGAGACCAGAGGTCACTGTTCAGTTCCTTTAACGGTCACTCTCTCTCCACCCAATCTTGAGTGCGGTGTGTGTGGTGTATACATAAACCCAACCAAGGCCAGAAATTGTTATCAAACATTTTCCTTTATCGATCTCCACCTTATTTTTGAGACAAGGTCTCTTACTGAACCAGGGACCCACCATTTGGATGGACTGATTGACCAGTGAGCTCTGGAGATCCTCCTATTCCATTGCTGGTATAAAATACTAAACCTGATGTTTGTGGGTGCTCATGTTTGCACATCAAGTTCATTATCCTCTGAAATATCTCTTTAACCCTTCCACATTATCTTTTGTGATGGGTTTTGGTGTGGGAGAATTGTCTGTATTCTGTCAATCATGTTCTAAATAAACACTGATTGGCCAATAGCCAGGCAGGAAGTATAGGCAGGAAAACCACACAGGAAGTAGAGGCAGATCAGAGAGAACAGGAGTATTCTGGGAAGAAGGAAGCTCTTTCCGCAGTCCTGCCCAGATCATCAAAGAAGCAGAATGTGACTTGCCTTGCTGAAAAAGGTACTGAGTCGTATGGCTAACATAAATAAGAATAATGGGCTATATAAGTTATAAGAGTAAATAAGAAGTTTGAGCTAATGGGCCAATCAGTTTATAACCTAATGTAGACTCTCTGTGTGATTTTCTCTGGGACTAAAGGGCTGGGGGACCGGGCGGGACAGAGACCCCAACGAGCCTGGCCCTCATGTTACAGGGTTTTCTCACTGAACTCAAGGTCACGGACTAGCCGAGCTGGTCAGAAAGCTCTGGTGATCCACCTGTGTCCCCAGCAGTAAGTTATAAAATACACACTACTGCTTCTTTTTTTTCTCTCTTGGTTCTGAGGATTCAAAAGCAAGTCATTATCCTGAGTGAGGTAAGCCAGACCCAAAAAGAGGAACATGGGATGTACTCACTCATATTTGGTTTCTAGCCATAAATAAAGGACATTGAGCCTATAATTCGGGTTCTTAGAGAAGCTAAATAAGAAGGAGAACCCAAAGAAAAACTTATAGGCATCCTCCTGATTATTAACCTTCATCAGGCGATGAAAGGAGACAGAGACAGAGACCCACATTGGAGCACCGGACTGAAATCTCAAGGTCCAAATCAGGAGCACCAGGAGAGAGAGCACGAGCAAGGAACTCAGGACTGCGAGGGGTGCACCCATACACTGAGACAATGGGGATGTTCTATCGGGAACTCACCAAGGCCAGCTGGCCTTGTCCTGAAAAAGCCTGGGTTAAAACCGGTCTTGCTGAACATAGCAGACAATGAGGACTACTGAGACCCCAAGAACAATGGCAATGGGTTTTTGATCCTACTGACCTATTGGTTTTGTGGGAGCCTAGGCAGTTTGGATGCTCACCTTACTAGACCTGGATGGAGGTGGATGGTCCTTGGACTTCCCACAGGGCAGGGAACCCTGATTGCTCTTTGGGCTGACGAGGGAGGGGGACTTGGCTGGGAGAGGGGGAGGGAAAGGGGAGGCAGCAGTGGGGAAGAGACAGAAATCTTTAATTAATTAATAAAGAAATAAATTAATTAATTAAAAAAATAAAATAAAAAAATAAAAAAAAACCTTCACGAGTCATCTCCCCATCCTCAATAGCCTTTCATTGTTTGCTTTCCATGGAAGTCACTGACTTCTGTGTATGCCTTCAAAAGTACATGAGAAGGTTGTTCTTATTGTAAGGCATCAGGTGCTTAGGAAGTAATAATCAATTAATAAAGGAAAACTTCATTGTATATCCAAAATCTTTTCTATAGTAGATATTGGAACTGTCTTCCTTACCTTCCAGTGGTTTGTAGTCTAACGGAAAACACAGCAATGCAGGAAAAAGTGTGAAAACGCCTTCACAGAAGTCCTTAATAGATTTATCAGCATGCAGCACAGATAGTTAGAATGGGGAGAGCGGTGAGTGCCAGCAAAGACTTCACAGGACATCTAGGAACGGAACCAGAAATGAGTGCATTACAATAGGAAGAAATAGCATGAGCAAAATCCCAGAGCCATGTGAAAGCCAAGAGAACTGGGATGTGAATGGAGCCGAAGAGGCAATGGGGAATGAAGAGTGCTGGGAGGAGGAATGCTCACAGAAGGGATGCTGATCAGGAGGCTGAAATTACGGTCGATATACGCTGGGACCATGAGCAACACTGGGAGAAATTGAGCAAGGAATTTGCTGGTGAGGTTAATGTTGTTGAAAAACTATTTTGAGGCATATAAGAAAGAACAGAACCCCAAGAAACTTGAAGTTGTCTTTAAAATGTATTTTTCTATCCTAATTTTCCCTAAGTTCATTGGTAAGCTTTTATTTCCAAAGCTACAGTCTTCAGTTCAAGTAGTTCGTATCCAACGTTGTAGAAGAAAGGAATCTTAAAAAAATAAAAGGCAATTCAATGTAACTTTTTATTCCCTTTCTGTAACATAATACTCCTTGAATCTCCTAGTGTTAGATACACTCATGTTGTCTTGATAATTCTTTCGCATTATGTAAAGAAAGTTAACCAAAGTGATTCTGATGGAAGGGGAAGCAAACTTTAGATTCAAAAATAAATTACTGCACACATTGAATTATATATGCTTAAGCACTCATTTAGACAATGATTCCATCATAAAAAACAGAAATTTGCATCCAAAAAAGTTTGAAATGCCATCCATTCAGTAGCAACACTGCTCTTTTGCTCCTAAACATTCTCAAATTGTGTCTATCACTGAGCTAGCTTTCCTCAGAAGAGTCTTGGATATTTTGTGTATAATTTGAAAGTATTATGTCTATATTGTTTTCCTTTCTTTATAAACAGATTATGTTCTTTTTAATATCCTAACTTGATTAAAGGCATTCCTAAGGTAGTTTACATGCTTTAGAAAACCGTGACACCTTTAAAAATTCAAGCTGTCAAAATAACATTAATCTAAAGTGTAGAAAATTCCAGTTGTTTTTCATATTGCTTAGAAACACCAAATGTCAACAAAAATGTATAAAATAAAATAAATACATGTGAACAAGACACGTATTTTTCTAAATTCTAGTATTCAAAGTACAAACATTCTTGAGAGCATCCTAACTTATTAAAATCCTTATTATATGTAAAGCTTATGTACAAAAGCAAGACAAGACTATCACAGTCTTAGACATGCAGGTAGGTGTTAAAGTGCTGATGTCATGATGATGTCAGCCACTTCCTAAAATGGCTTAACGGTTTATGAAACACTCAACTGCTTAAACCTCAGTAATATCCCCATGAGATGCAGCGCTACACAGCGCAGACTCTGACCTGAGGAAGTGATTTCTGCATTTAGTTGTTTGCATTTTTTGTTTTTATTATTATTATTATTACAAATTTTCACCTCCTTCCCTCCTCCCATTTCCCTCCCCCTCCCCCTACTCCCCTTTTCCCCTTCTCCAGTCCAAAGAGGAGTCAGGGTTCCCTGGCCTGTGGGAAGTCCAATGTCCTCCCCCCTCCATCCAGGTCTAGGGAGGTGGGGATCCCAACAGACTAGGTTCCCACAAGGCCAGTACATGGAGTAGAATCAAAACCCAGTGTTCCTTGAGCAGCTGAGGAGAGGGCGCCTGAACTGGCCCTATACTATAGCCACTCTGATGAATATCTTGCGTATCACCATACAACCTTCATCTGGCGATGGATGGAGATAGAGACAGAGACCCACACTGGAGCACTGGACTGAGTTCCCAAGGTCCAAATGAGGAGCAGAAGGAGAGACAACAAGAGCAAGGAAGTCAGGGCCACTAGGGGTGCACCCATCCACTGTAACGGTGGGGCTGATCTAATGGGAACTCACCAAGGCCAGCTGGACTGGGACTGATGGAGCATGTGATCAAACTGGTCTCTCTGAACGTGGCTGACATGGAGGGCTGACTGAGAAGCCTAGTTGTTTGCTTTTTAAAGGGGGTCTACTGAGAAGAACTTAGTTCCCTTCCTAGAAACAGAGTTCTTTCACAAGTCACAGATGTTCTAACATCTACAGGAGAACCACAGCACTCTTTTAAAGGGTATACACTTTGCTAAAGGTACAACCTTTTAAAAATATAAAGCCAGTATGTCTATAAGAAAATCACCTATGATTTTTCAAGTGAAAATAATGGGAAACCAAGGCACATTAGAGTTGCGGAGGGACCCTACTGAAATTGGGGAATCTTATTTCTAGGTTTTACTACCCACATCTGTAAGAGTTACAAAGAACTGCACAGTTACATTGGGTCAATAGAATCAAAGTAAACCTACGGTCTTGACAATGGGACTGAAACTCCTTGTTGTTTCGTTTCTTCAAGTACAGTGTTTTACATTTTTTTTTTCAGCCTTTTTTCAAGCTTACCTTGGCTATATATACAGAAGCCTAAAAAGATTCATAACTCATGTAAATTTTCACATTCAACCTTTATCCTTCTAATGAACACATTTAAAGTTACATTTCACATATAATATTAGTATGAATCATGATTTTAAAAGTGTTTTAATTGTAGGTAGAAAAAGCTTAAAGCCTAGCTGGTGTTATTTCCCTTGTAGAGAATCAAAACACATTTCACAAATATGGAAAGAGGAAGATATGCCAGGGAAGGAAGAGTTAGAGGGATTAATATGACCAGCATATATTGCATATATGTGAGATTTTCAAAGACTAAAATAAGAATATAAAAAAAATCATAGAAAGTGTGAAAGGGAAGCACAACAGAATTACTTTCTCTCCCTAATGAGATCCACGCATGGTTAATACCATTTATAGATACATTAGAAATCACTAGAATTATTACTTTGAGTTTGAGTTCCATACTAATGAAAACAAAGCCACTTTTTAAATGTTTAATTTTATGCATGTGTGAGTGAGCGAGTGAATGAGTGAGTGAGTGGGTGGGCGGGTAGATGTGGGAGTGGGGTGTGCAAGTGCCTTCCAAGATAAACACGTGAAGGACAGAGGACAGTTTGTGTGAGTCTGTGCTCTCCTACCACCATGGATTATAGATGCCAAAAATCAGATACTCAGACTTGTGCAGCAATGGTTTACTTGGTAAGCTATCTCACAGGCCTTGAACACGAAGTTGCTTCAAATGAATACAAGGTAATAAAATTATATTAAAAAGAAATTATGTATGTGATTATTTGGGTGTAGCTTAGTAATCCTTCGTAGTATCACATATACACGTAATTTAAATAGAATTAAATGCATAGTATTTTTTACATAATAAGATGCAAAATCATTTTAGCTTCATCATACTTACAGGTATGTACACAGCAGGAAAAGAAGCTTAATATTACATAGTTTCAAAATCTCTTATATGTCTGTGTGTAGCAATTAAAACAGTAACAACTTATATGCAATACAGGAAGGATAATATAAATCTGGACAAGGAAAAGAAAAAGTTACAAGATCTTCACTGAGTTATACAAAATTATAATACTCTAAAGCTTGTCCCACAGAAGAACAAGGTGATCTCTGAAGTTACAAGGCAGTGAATTCAGAATTATAAAAAGGAAATATTACTTCACGATCTTTAGTTAACCTGTAGCTACAGTTCCACTGGTTGCCATAAAATCAAATTCCGTGGTTGAATTTAAAAGCTGGATAATTTTATAGCCACTCATAACACCAGGGTTCAGGTCCATCACCTTCAGTGGCTGGAACAGAATGATCGTACGAATAGACTATAAGTTAAGGCGGTAGGTGGTATGAGGCGTGGCCTTAATAGTTAAATATTGGTTCCTTGCAGTTAAATGACAGCTGCCACTTAGGTCTCGCATAAGACATACATGAAAGCAATAATTAAGGATAGAGGCCCCCAGAAGCTGCCTTTGCAAGTCTCAATTTAATAATTCCCTATGAAATCTGCCTGTCAATTTCAGACCCACGTGCACAGAAGGCCTGCACCTTGACAGAATACTGGTATTTGTCAGGTGGGTGCTAGAATTTGCTAGTTCATCCTAAGTGAGCTTCCATTTCCAAGTGGAAGTTTTGCTGTCCCCAGTATCCTCTATTCTCTTCTGCAAGGTGTTTAGCTTATAACATTTCCTGTATGCATCACCAATGTAAAAAATAATGCCTTCTCTATGAAAATATTTAAATTGCTTTTAAAATATTGCCCTTTCATCTTTCAATATTTTTAAATTGTCATTACTTATATATCTGTGCCTTCACCTTCTGCCTCTCTAAACTGGAATGCTATTCCTGGATCCTCTTGTTTAGAGGGTCCATTTTAATTCAGGTTTCTCCAGCAAGTTATCTGTGCTGTGCTGGTCTCAGATAAAAAATAACAGCATCACCACCCAGCATGTACATCCAAACACTGTATTTCTAGTATTTACCTATTTCAGAATTTTAAAATATACGTTAACATATGTGTACTTCCTTTTGCTCAAATCTCTTTTAGAATGAAGCAAATCATAAAGAGGAGCTATCCCCAAGTCATCCATGGTGCGGTTTACAGTTTATCTTTTGAATCTGCAATGCGCAAATTGCTTGGTACATACCTATGACACAAATGAATAATTGAATGAATGTGGTTTAATGTTCATATGGGGGCATACTTCCTTGAGCAATTACTAAGAATTACTTTCTGGTACACATGTTACTAACATTTTAAATATGGTTTTATATGTCTTCCAGCTAGCAGTTGTTTTTTCTTACTACTGAAATTTATAATTCTTAAAACTCATAAAAGAAAGCACACCTCTGAAAATGTTGTTCTTAGGTCCAGTATTCATATAAAAAAATAATACTGCAATAAAAAATAAGTAAAAGACTTCTGATAATACCCTTGTTTTAAACACAATTTTCTGGTTGTTTCTGGGCAGGGTTGACTGAAGCACCAAAAATATCATTTTGTTAACCTGCTTCTTCCATCTAGTGGCAAAAAGCAGTAAGAAACAATGTATTTCAAAAAACGAAATGAGCAGATTTTGTTCTAGATGTCGTTTTAGGAAATCCTG